TCTGTTGTTATATTACGACTGGCAAGTCATATGACGAATTCGATCACTCGCAATACACTGGATCAGTGCATATTAAAAGCTGCTTTATATAAAATATTTCAATACAGTAATACAATATAATCAACTTTGACAATATCGAAATGATACATATATATTTTGTTAAATAACGTGACAATATCATTAGTAGATAGTTAATCATTTAAAATATTTACATACTTTTACATTTAACTTTACTAATTTCATGTAAAACAGCTTTTAGTATGCACTGATCTAGCGTAGTGCAAGTGACCGAATTCGCTATTAGTGGCAGAAACCAAGTTTAAAGAAGACATAATGGATAGGAATCTAAAATCATGAGCAAATTTGTTGACAACTGCTGGCATACTGCTAGCATTTGACTATCTGGGTACATTCTAAAGTAGAAACATATTAGATACGTTATTTACCATTCCTTGACAAGGTGCTTGTATGCCTTCCGGATGTCCTGCAACGTCGCATGCTTCGACACGCTTAATATCTTGTATGGATTACCCAAGGAATCGCCGGCGGCCGCCGGCAGGGTCAACTGGAGGAGCGCGAAGAGGCTCAGCAGCAGGAACGCGTATCTCATTAACGGAACGACACCGGCGACTCGTGCAACGTCGCCGTGGGTTTGCCGATCACCCGTCATTAAAAAATCAATCGATAACATCATTCGCGATGCAGCGGTGGGCCTCACGGTGATCTTCTCGCGTGTGGCACTGTGCAGAGTGTTACGGACCCGCGTGACGTTACCGTTCCCTTCACTTTCGGCTGTCACTCGCGCTCTCGTCGTGCTCGGGATTAGATGACATACTTCTCGTGTGAATCGTCCTTCACCCGTCGTCGTTGTGTGGAACGTCGCGATAACGTCGGCGGAAAGGAAGCCTTTCCTCACATCAACACTCCCCAGATTACAGCCGCCACCATGTTGCACCAGAACGGAGGGACGAGGGACAGACATATCGAGGCATATAGGCCAGCAGGCTACTGGCTAACCAGGTCTGTTTTTATTCCTGCATTAGATTGCACTAGAACTCTCTTTCTCGCCTTCGCCAAATCTCAAACATGTGTCCATCTCACTTTAAGTTCCAAAAGTGTACACTGTACACCAGTTTAGCCACAGAAAACAGATCCCATGATTAAACACGGCCGGTTTGCAGACGACGCGCGGCGAGTTTTCATGAAGCACCCGCGAATCAACGCCGTCCGCACTTCGCCGTTGTGCTGTCGTCGCCGTGATTCGTTTTTTTTTCTGTTGCGAACATTTCAGCGCGTGCTTCGGCCTGCCGTTCAAACTCTTCAATGACAACTTCGTGCAACCTCGTGTCCATTGGAGACAGCCCGGCACCCGCTTGTATCATTATGTTAAATGTCATAATAATTTAATTCTATATTTGTTGCGATGTTACGTTTGTAAGTTACGTTGCAATCATCACAATCTGTGTTTGTACAATTAATTATGTTTGGCTCGTCATAATGCTTGTTATTCTCTATGTTTATCTTTGTATTTGTTTTCTTTATATGGTGACTTCGATGAAACTTGAAACTCCGATTAGGTCAATCATCGATCGATTCGACTGTCAAAATATTACTTGCAGCAAAATTTTTAGCGTAATTTATCGTTCTTAAGCTGCTCCTTTTTCTTTGTAACAACAAGAGCAGGTTAATAATTCTGAACATGTTAATAAACAAGTATTGACAGTTTAATCGTCGGTTAATCAAAGTTTAGTCGAACTTATCCTCAAGTCCATTTCTATCAATGTAGGTTTCAACTTTAATTTCAGGTTAATGTACTTTTTATCTTTTTAATTTTTAGAACTAGGGAGTCGATTGTGTTCTTGAAATGAGATGAAAATTACAAAAAGTGAGCCAATTCACTAGTTATTGACCAATTAAATTATGAATATTCTAGTGAATTTGCTCATTTTTGTAATTTTCACCTTATTTCGAGATATACAATCGACCTCCTGAAGTAGATAAAAAGTAAATTAAATCAAGATTAAAGTTTATCTACATTTGAAATGGACATTAGTTTCATATCGAATTTTTTGCTTCTTCTTCAAATTTGTATTGAATACATATACATATACATAAATGAATACTAATTTTATTTATACACAGTGAGAGAAGTAGATGCGTCGAACATTGCGCAGCGTCATCTTGCTCCAACATGATTATGGATAGCTGAAATGTATTTCATACAATCTTTCTGAAAGAATGACAAATATTTATGAAAGAAAGGAAGATAACAGAAATTTGTAGAAATAGTACATTTTATAATTATCAGAAGTCATTTTTGACAAATTGCTCTAAAGTGTCTAAAGTATATAAGTACCAAAAATGAACACTATGCTTTGTGTAACTCTGTGACATGTGCTTGAAGCTCCATAAAACGAGCTCCATAAAACAGAAATTATAAGCAGTGATTAGAAGGTATGAATATTATTAATAATTATTTATAATAATAATTAATAATAATTTGATATTGCGATGATAATTTAATATTAATTCCTAATTGGATATTTTAATATTAATTTTTGAAACGCAGCATGACATCGAGAACTATATGCATCACTCAAGAAGGACCTGCAAACGCCTTAGCTCTTAACAAAGATAACAGCCAGGTTGTGATAGCAGGTCGTAATGGTAGGTCTACATAAATTTAAAATAAGATATATTTTAAAATATAATTAGGATATACAATATACAGATTATTGCAATCTGATTGACATGGTTAAAATAATTATAATTAATTAATTTTATTTTACCAAACTTATTTCCTATTTCTAAAAGAAGTAAGTATGAGAGTTATATTATAATAATATAATAATATATTTTATTACAGTTTTCAAAATATTCACATTGTTGGAAGATAGGTTTGAAGAAGCCTGCAATCTTCGTGTTGGGAAGAATTTGAATCTGAATTTTTCTTGCAATGATGTTGCCTGGAATCTTAATGATGGTAATCCAATTGCTTATTACGATATATGATATATTTTTAATATATTATATTTATATTAATGCTTATATTAAATAATGAATGATATTATAAAAGATAGATACCTGAATTTTTTCTAGCTTAACTCAAATTTTCATGAATATATTTAATTCAATCACTTTTCTGTAAATTATATTTAAATATTAATGAACTATATTTATAATATAATGAATCAGATTATTTTGTAATGTTTTATTAATTTGTAGACCATATACTTGCAACTGCAGCAACAAACGGTGCGGTCGTTTTGTGGAATTTGAATAGGCAATCTCGATCAAAACAGGATCATGTATTTGTTGATCATAAAAGAACTGTGAATAAAGTAAGCTTTCACATGACAGAACCCATGTGGTTGATATCTGGCTCACAAGACGGTACTATGAAATGCTTTGATTTACGAATAAAAGAAGCAATCAAGACTTTTTATAGGTAAAGGAAGTTGCGTGGACTTATGTTAACATAAGTAATCCATAAAGCTGTTAAATATAACAACGAAATCTTTTTTTCTTGCATCTCAAGAATTTTTTTTTTAGTTAAATAAAAAGATTTCATTTAATTTAATGATTGTTATATATTCATTTTTAGTAATACAGAGTCTGTGAGAGACGTCCAATTTTGTCCACAACAGCCTCATACTTTTGCTGCTGTATCCGAGAATGGTCATGTGCAACAATGGGATATGAGAAAACCAGAGCGTTACTTTCAACATTTTACTGCACATAGTGGTCCAATATTTGCCTGTGATTGGCACCCAGAAGCTACTTGGCTTGCTACAGCATCTAGAGACAAAACTATCAAAGTAATTTATCTTCTACATATTAATATTTTTTGTGGAATATATAATTTCTCACTTTATATCGTTGTAATTTTATAGGTTTGGGATTTATCGGGTAAACCAAGTTGTGATTATACTATACATACTATAGCCTCAGTAGGACGTATAAAATGGAGACCTCAGAAAAAGTATCACATAGCCAGCTGTGCTCTAGTCGTTGATTGCAGCATAAATGTATGGGATATTCGCAGACCATACATTCCATTCGCGAGTTTCAATGAGCATAAGGATGTTCCTACAGGTGTGGCATGGAGAGGCAACCCGCAATCGTTTCTATCAACAAGCAGAGTAATACTCAATTATTCGCTTTTGTATTACAATATATGCAGCACAATTCTCCTTATGTTCCATTTTATAGGATTGTACTTTATACCATCACGTTTTTGACGATGCAGTAAGACCAGCCAGTAAAGCAAATCCACAGAGTGTTGCAATAAATTTAAAACATGACATTACATGCGCTTCCAAGGTGAAATATGAACCAGCAAGTATCGCAAGGCAGCTGAGTAATTTAATGAGGTGTGAACGTTTTGTTATATTATATAAAAATATTGCGATTATAAAATCCAAGATAAATAAAATAAAATGAACAAAATTGTTATAAATTTAGATGCCATTGCGAGCCGTTAATTTTAAGTCTTCTTTCAGCTAAAAAAGATTTTTTACAATGAAGTTGATTTTTGTTTTAATTTTTTAAAATTTTGTTTTTATTTATCATATATCTTTATTCTTTTGCAGGAGAACACCTGTAACAAATGATGATAATTTTTGCATGGCTTCAAGTGTAATGAATAGATTCCGTGGATGTGTACGCGAACCGAATTGGTTTAAGATAGCCGCAGAAAACTATTTGCTTTCTGGAAATTTAAGTGAAGCCTGCGATCACAATGCACGTGTTGCGTATGACTTTGGCAATTATGTTGTAAGAAAACATATGTTTTGTATATACATTATATAATAGCATTGATATATTTAATAATAATAGTCTTATTTATACAGGTCAGCAAAGCGTGGCAAGTCTTAAAGATGATGTATACAGATCCGTTTGAGATACTCCAAAAGAGTGCACCGACGGTGCCTAAAGAAGATGTAGTTAATACATCAAATATAGTACCTGGAGTAACAAAAAGCTCTGGTATGGAACAATCAAATGCGAGTAAACAATCAAGTAAGTATAAGCAGAAATATCATGAACAACATTAATATCCTGCTATCACATCACATTTAATTGTATAAATTGATTTTTCTCAGGTCATGAACAAGACGCAAGATCTCTCCAGGGGGAAAATCCTGCTGGCGCTGCCAGTGGCGGTGACGATGAAACTGAAACAGAAACTGAAGCACCGGAGAATCAAAATATCACGGGACCATCGACTAATACAACAACTGTTCTGCCAAGGTAATGTTATATATTCATCGTCGCATAAATCCTAGAGTTACATTGCATGCGTGTCTGTTGAGATTAATTGATTTCTATTGGTGTAATTAGAATACTTGACGTTTCTAATTATAGGAGACCATTACTTAGCGATATACCTTCTACATCGCGAGGCGATTTTATCTTTGGCGAAACCGAGTACGAACCCGTGTCTTTGGAACATCACGGCGAAAATAGGCAAACTGTGATGCGCATGGAGGATGATGATTGGACCAAGGAATTGCAGAAGGAGGCTTTTCCTTTACGACATGAGATCAAGGATCGGTCTCCGCCACCAGAACAATTTCCCAATCATCCTCCTGATCTCAGCGAGAATTCAACTTCTGTTATAGTCGAAGATCAACCTAAGCTAGTAGTTCCGGTTCTACCAAAACCTTTGCCTTTTGATTTTACGCCTCTAGTTCTGGAGGGACTACACTTTCATACAGCAATAAGAGATGTACAGACGACAGTATCGATGCTCATTGTCTTAGGAGAAATAAGGAAAAAGTTGAATATTCCTGTAGCTTTACAGGAACATTGGATATTAGAATATTTGGACATGCTTGGCAAATTTAAGCTCTGGCATGTAGCTACACAGGTTTGTTCATAATTACAGAATGCATTATATTATTTAACTGCAATTGACAATTTCTTTTTTGATAATTTTTATTCATAAATAATAAAAATACTTGATTTAATATAAATAATTTTATT